CAAATATTTGCCTAAGAAATTAAAAAAAAGAAAAAGAAAGTAAAACTCTCTCTCTTTTTCTCTCCCCTCTACCCTCTCCCTCTACCCCACCAATTTCTTCTCCCCTCATTCCCTCATGACCACCACCTGCAAGCTCCAACCCCCAAACCCATCCCACAACCAACCCCCCTGCCCCCCCCAACGAACCCAACAACCACCCTGACCCCTCCCTCCGGATTTTCCTTTGTTGTTGAGAAACCACAACCAACCACCCTCCTCCCTACCCTACATGGGTGGTGGTGCGGTGGCACTCCAAGCCCATCACCAATTTCAATTTTCATGTTACCATTTTCTCTGTGTCACCATGTTTCTCTCTTATTTTTGTGACACTTGTCCTCTCACTTATCATTAACCTAACTCTGTTAACTTACCCTTGAATTAAAAAACATTGATATTAACAAAGCAACAACCCAATAGCCCCGAGCAACCACCCACCCACCAAACTCCAACAGCCGACCACCACAACCATCCCACAGTCTCCACCACTTGCCTTCCTCTCTCTGTCACTCTCTGTCTCTGTCTCTGTCTCTCTCTCACAAAGTGAAGCTGATTTGAGTTGAATCAAGTAATGGTTTTGGAAGGAAACAAACTTGGCAAAGATACAGAGGCTCCAAGGCTGAAATTTTGAAGAATTGATAGAGATTTTTCAATTTGGAAAAAAAAAACACCTTTCAAGATTTTCCGACGTCATTGAGGAGGAGGGCATGTGGTTGTTTGGAGAAAAAAAATTTCAATTTGGCGAGGAAGGGAAAGAAAGGTTCACAGTTGAAGATGCACTCGAAGTGGAGATTAGGTTCGGCTGAGATCAACAATCTTGATCTGGTTCAACAATTTTATGAGAGACAAAGGGAGGTGTGGGTGGTGGGGGCAGAGGTGGTGGGGGCAGAGCTGGTTGCCGATGAGGAGGGGGTGGTTGTGGAGAAGATAAACGAACTAGCTTTTGAATAATTATTTCATTGAATTTTAATAAAAATTAGTAGACTTAACAACTTTAGTAGTATGTTAAGTGAAAGGACACATGACAAAAGAATAAGGAGGAAACAAGTGGGTATAGAGAAAATGGTAACATGAAAATTGAACTCCCATCGTTGTTCCATATATATGTTTTTTGTGCTGTGATGGTGGGTGTGGCTGAGAATGGTGGGTAGGGAAGAGAAGGGGGCTTGGGTTTCATTGGGAAGAAGGGACAAAGAGATTCAGAGAGAGAAAAAAGAAAAGGTTTTTGTTTGTTTTTTAATATTTTATTCAATGTGTTTAAAAAAAATTATTTTATTCAATTTAGGAAAATAATGTGGGCCCTACATGTGCCATGTCATCACTTAACAGATTTTCTAATAGCTAATCTAACCGCAGAGAGTCACATTGCAAAAAAATTACAAAATAAGGGTATGTAATTGTTAAAATTGAGAATGCGAAGACAAACATGCCTTACGGGTACAACTTTAGGATACCAAATTGAAATTAACCCTTCCTTTTAATAGTGATTATATTATTTGAATGAAATTGGCATGAACAATTGCAGACGATAAATGATGTGATTGCTGGAATAATCTTCTTGGGCACCAGAATATACATGCAAGAGGTTACCCAAAAATCAAGCAATGAACATTGTACGACGTTGGTGCTGCTTAGAACCAGAAACATCAAGGGTTACACGCCAATCAAAGAGATGATCGAACCCAATAATGCCAAAATGTCACGGGGAAACCAATTTGGCTTCTTACATGTGTCAGTGCCCAAGTCAATTGAAATCTCAAAACGCACTTGACTTTGTTTGGGAAGATACCGCCGAGAGAGCTTTAGAGAGAGAGGCTCCTCCTTCTCTCTAGAACTTCTCTCCTTTCCCACCGCCCTCTTCTGAGCAGCTGGTGGTTGTGCTGCCGCCCTTCGGGGCGGCACCTCTGCCACCTCTTGTGTGGCTTCTCTGCCATCCTTTGGTGTGGCTTTCCTTTCCCTTTTTTTCAGTTTGCTTTGGTTTGCCCTTCCTCGTATGTTTTTCCTTATGTAGGCCCAGATCTCCTCCACATCCCCTCCATCACTACTCTTCAGCAATTTCACATCTCTCACCATTTTTCCCTTTCATACACTCACCCCTCATTAGTCCATTTCTCTCCCCCTCCCAGGAAAACTCAAACCCTAAAATCCCCCTCTCTCCCTAGAATTTTCTTGGTTGTCTACTTGTTTGCTGCTGCTGCTTTTTCTTCCCTACAATCCAACCTCAAATTTGAGATCAGGTTATGAAGGTGTTGGCTTTGCAGTTTAATGGTCCATTTGGACCTATACCTGCTACTGGATCGCTTGAGCATGACGCATGTTGGTGGCTTGCTTCCCCAACTCCACGCTCTACAGATCGCCTTTGTTGGTTCCCCTGAACCTTCTTGTTCTTCTGGCAGCGACGGCGGCTGCTTAGTGTTTCTAGGATTTGATTCTAGGGTTTTTGTATTTTGGGGTTTTTTGGTTATATTGGGCTTTTTGGTATTTTGGATTGGGCTTGTATTTTGTTTGGTTGAGCCCTTGTTTTATATTTCTGACTTTTGTATTGGGCTCTTAAGTAACACTCTATGGTAATGACATGATCATTCCTTTGACCAAAAAAAAAAAAAAAAAAGAGAGAAGTTCTGCAGCTAGCTACCTCACTAGCCGGTTGTTGGACGTTTTGAAGAAATTTAGAGGCCCTGAGGTATGTAATTAACAAGGAAATTTGACATAAACATAATTTTTATTATTAACCACTTAAATTTTATAAAGTGTAGCAATTTACCAATTTCTCCTGTTTTATAAGTATTAGTGTCAAATATCTAATATGTTATGTTGCTAAAATCTCATTTTATGCTAAAATCTCATTTTATACTAAAATGCAAGTACTCTCGCAAGATATAGAATGTTTTATAGGAAATAGGGATGGGCATGGTCCAGTTCGGCCTGATTTTTAGTCAAAATTAGAAATGAAACCGTACTATACATCTGATTCGGTCTGGTCTGATTTTAATGAAAAATTAATTACTCAACCGAACCAATCCGACCAGTTTAGATTCGGTTCAATTTCGATTTTTTCAATTTGGACCGGCAAACAATCCCAGCTCTGTATGACGAAACAAGTCCCCAAGATCTACAAGATGTTGTCTGGGCAGCGTGCTCAAAGAAGGAGAGAGACTGCAGGGAGAGAGCTAGAGTTGGAGCTGTGCTACCTCGTGCGGGTAGCTGGGCTTGGATGCATGTGGGGATTGGAGCCCAGTGGAAGGGGATGGAGGTGCAGGGGATGTGGCTGCGTCAGCAGGAGGGGGAGAGGAAAATACAAGGTCGGCATTACAAAGAAGAGAGAAAGAAGAAGAAGAAAGAGCCAGCACAGATGAGAGAAAAGAAGAAGAATAAAAGAAATAGTAAGAGTCGACAGCACAGAGGAGAGAAAAGAAGAGGAAGAAAAAAGATGAAAGAAGAAGAAAGAAGAAGAAGAAAAAAAAAATAAAAAAAAAAAAAGAAGAAGAAAGAGTCGGCATTGAGGAGAGAAGAAGAAATAAAAAAGAAGAAAAAAAGAGAGAAGAAAAGTCGGCAGCCAGAGGAGAGAAAAGAAAAAAAAGAAAAAAAAAAGAAAAAAAAAGAAAAGAGAAGAAATGTCGGCAGCTCGAGCAGAGAAAAGAAAAAGAACCAAAAAGAAAAAAGAAGAAAGAAGAAAGAAGAAGAAGGAAAGAAAAAAGAAAAAAAAAAAAGAGAAGAAAAGGCGGCAGCCAAAGGAGAGAAGAAGAAAAAAAGAAGACTTTTGGAAAGAGAGATGATGGAGGGGACGGCTAGGGTATGAGAAATGGTTGAAGGAGAGTGGTACAAATGAATATAAAGAGTTGGGCATGTTTAAGAAATAGAGTTGGGCTTGGTGAGATGGTTAAGAAATGGAGTTGGGCTATTTATTTATTTGACTTTGGGAGTTGGGTTTGGTGGAGAGATCTAATAATATGTAATTATATATATTTTAATTTGACCGGTCTGGTTCGGCCTGGTCTGGTTTTTGAAGGCATGGAACTAGAAACCAGAACCGATTAGAACCGGTTCGATTCGATTTTTTGACCGGTTGTTGACTTAACTTGATTTTTTCCCCGTTTTTCCGGTGTGGTTCGGCTTCGATTTCCAATTTGCAGGTTTGAATGCCCACCCCTAGCAGGAAATATAATTTGGGCATGATGACCTCATAAGTCAATTTTGTGTAATCCATTCAAAACACTTTAAATGTACTTATCCACAAACTTGCTCTTAGCAGGGGCGGCTTTGAAATTTTAGGGGCTATGTGCTAAATGAGCAGCAGGGTCTCTAAAACAAAGTTTTGAAAAAAAAATATTGAAAATTGGATCATATATATTGATAGAAAGTTTACAACTAAAGCTCACCAAAAGATAGTAATATACAAAACTATTTTTTTTTTTAGTAAAAGTATATACAAAACTATGGTCTAACATGAATCTTGCCAATGTTGGGTTGGTTTTTTATTTTTTTGCCAAAGTTAGATAGGGGGTGGGGGGAAACTCACACAGACGGGTACCACGGGGGTTTGAACCCAGGACCACTTGGGAGCACACAAAAGGTCTGGGCCAATCCAACTAACACCCCATTGATTGATGTTGGGTTGGTTTAGTGTCAATGAATCTTGTCATGAGAAGAAGTCACTTAATTATAGATTGCCTCTCACAGAACCACAAAAAGTCCAAAAATGTAGTTAAATCAAGCTATCAAAATAAAAACTGCAAAATTCATCATTATTTACCTCAATTTGTCGTCGCCCAAAATGAGAATGAATGGTCTAGGGATTTTCTTCAAGAGAGAATGGTTTAGAGTGTTTACCTTGGCCATACTGTTCTAGTAATGAATTTATTCTTATGTGAATTTAATTTAGCATCGGATTTTATTTAATTTACCAATTTATAGCAGCATTGTTTGCAATGTGCTGAAGCTTTCCTTCGTGGGTGAAGGCTTTTTCCTCCCTTACCTAGGAAACTTGCTCTTGTGTGTTCAAATTTCAAAAATTTCTCAGGTGCAACCAAATCATGCATCATGTAAACTTTATGTTCCATTTAGGAAATTTCCTTGATGGGTCACAGAGATCTTTTTGTTTTGTTTTGAAAATGGCAGTGATAAATAAAGAAGATGATATCATTAACTAGGCACATGAAAGTGAAAGATAAACCGTGTGGGCCACCTGGGAAAAGCTTTTCCACCACACTACGATTTTCCAGGAAGCTCTCCTTTTCTCTTTATTCCATTATTGCCTTTACTAAAACCTCTTCTCCACTAATCCCATAACACTATAGCATCTTCTTCTCATTGTTTTCAGTTTGGGGGCGGGATGGAAATCAGATAATTAAAGAAAGAAAGCAGAGGATCCGTCTTGGAAAGCTCCTTTCTTTTTCTATGTAAATTCCTCAGTTTTCTCAGTAACCAAACAGAGGTATTTATGTCTCAAAGAAAAGCATTTGCTTATTAGCTGTGGAAATTGAGAGAGCAACAACTGGTTTCCTGGTTTGCAAATACTCATCGTGGAGATCAATCTTCTTCTGAGCCATCTTTAACACCTAGGAGTAATCTTTACAGGCCCTCCTTGAGTTTCAGGGATGAGGTCGTACAACTATAATGTCTATGACGAGCCCATAAAGGTAGTGGTCACTCAAAACTTGATCATAACCATATCCATAGCTAGCCAGCCAAGCTAGCCTAACAGTTTTTTTTGTTGCATATATTTCTTGATTGGTGTCTTTAATTTTTAATTGAATTTATAATTATCTAGTTTCTTTTCTTCTATAGGCTACTTCAGAATCAGCAGAGTGGATATTTTTAGCCACTAACCTTGGCCTAGAGATGTTGTCAGCTGCTTGTGATCAGGTTTCCTCCCCCCCACTACGCACTATTTGGTATGCCGTTGGCTATTGCAGCTATGCTCATTTCCATCTGGGAGCTAACAGCATACCAAATAGTGCATAGTGGATGGTAAAAAGGAAAGAGTTGTGTTGAGGAGATGGGGAATGCTCTGGCGGTTTTATCATCCACCACCTCGTAGTAATAAGCTTTTTGGTACTCTTCCTGACATTTATGGACTAGTTTCTGGCATCTCACAGTGCATTTGATATATAGTTCAGTATGTTTACTTCCTTCGGCATGCTGATAATCCTTTCAAAGCATCCCTTTTGCCTGCCATATTTCTTCTCTGTTTAGGTGGTTCAAAACTGAGTAATAACCGAAGGAACGCCAATACCACTGACAACAACATCTTGAGAAAGCCTTTGGATAGTAATTCCTCTACCTCTACCTCTACAACTACTAGCACTTCAAGTTCAAGCCCGCTATTTCAGGCTCAAGGGGGTCTTCTTCTATCCAGGTGGAGAGCCCCTCGGATGCGCTGGACTACCACTCTGTTAAGCTTTTGGGTGGCCATGAAAGTGAGAACTAGTCCTTGCTTTCTTCTTTAATTATCCTTTGTTCATACGTTGTCTTCAACAACTTACAGGTAAAAACAAAAAGAAAATGGAAAAGAAGAGGACTTGTTATGAGTTTTTCTCCTGTTAAATCCTTTTCTTTTTCTGTTAAATTAATAATGTTGTGGGTTTATACATTAGGGGCTACACCAGAGTCGGTTCTTGAGCTTATGGATGTCAAAAATTTCACCTTGGCACATGTCAGATCTCATTTACAGGTGAGCTAGTTTTCTTAACCATCATCATTTCTTTAATTAAATGTGTGTTCTTCTTGTACCTTTGACTATTATATGCATTATAGCTAGCATGCATGTTTGGCTTTTCTTATAGCTCCCATCTTTCCTTTTCATCTTAATTGAGACACTAATATTACGTACTAAAGAAGCTTAAGTAAAGATGCAGTGTACCAAATTTGCAATTTCAGGGGTCTTAGTGAAATTCTCCCTAGAATATTGCACATCATTCATATAAAATGTTTGAGCTATTTAGTTATATACCAATTCTTAGCACTAGTGATATAGATAAATTGTAATAACCCAGACCTTAATTATTATTTAATTAATAATTTAATAGTGGAAAAGACTAAACTACCCTCATAATATTTTATTAGGTTTTTAAGTTGACTTTTCGACTGGGGAAGAATTTGAAATTTTCGATCGTATCATTGCGTAGAGCGCGACGAAACGAGTCCGTAGACACGTAGTGGACTTGAAATCGGACTTGTAACGAAGGAATTACGAGCAAAATGAGTTGAGGGGCAGTTTAGTAATTTTGCAAGATCAGATTTTTAAAATCTGATTCTTCTTCTCCCTTTCTTCTGCACGCGACCAGCATCCCCCCATTCCTTTTTCTCTTCTAGCCGCACCTCTAAACCTCCATAACCACCCAGCCACACCGCCAACCACCATCGGATCAAACCCAACTCGACCGGCGTGACCTCCGTTGCCCAGCCCCGACCTTCCCCGCCGTCTAGCCACCACGATCTCGCCGGAAAAACCAGAAAATCCCGCCGGTTTTGACAGGATTTCGTCGGCTTCGTTCATCGTCATCCGGCCACCAAATCGGACGAATTAGGTATGGATTTCTAGCTATTTTTCATGATCTAGCTGATGGTTGGGTAGGATTTGCGATATTTTAAAGTTTGATAGGGTGATTTTCGAGTTGAAATTCTGCCGGTTTTGCGTCGCCGATTTCAGCAACTTCCGGCCACTTTTTGGCCATAGTCCAAGAACAAAAGTGGTTCCAAATTAGATGTTTTACCTAGGCTAGATGTTTGCGCCAGCAATTTGAAGATTTTCCGCCCGCAGGAATTTACTATGCACACCCACGCGTTGCTGGCGCGTGGGCGGCGCGTGAGTCAGGTGTCGGGGACCACTCTTGGTCCTAGAATGATCATCGTGTCCTCACGAGCATGTAGGAATTTGCGGATCTCAATTTGGATAACGTTTGAACCCCGAACGAATCTCACATATTGTGCGATTTCCTGGTTCAATACGTTTAGACCGTTGGATCGTAGTCAACTTTTATTATTCTTGGGTACCTATGGTGGTTTCTAAGAAAATATAATTCCAGAAAAGTTAATGAGAAATGAAATGAATTCTTAATTATCTAAAATTCTGGTATGCCAAAATCTCTAGGCACTCTCAACTCGGAAGCATATAAAATAAAACATATAAAAGCGATAAATCAAGCTATTAAAACTCTGATAAATGAATAAACTCATTCAAGATCAATTAATGAGATTAAATTGCATAAATCATTCATAAAACAAAAAGGTCCACTCACAGATGCTCTGAGCTAACTGAATCCTTTGAAGGTCCCTCCTACGGGTCAACTGGTGCCCGGGTGCCTGAATAACTATCATAATATTTTATTAATAAATCTGCTCAATAAAATAATATTAAATCAAAAACCCTAACCCCCGGCTCCTAGAAGTGCATGCGTCCTTTTAAAGGTCATTCCTATGCCCACATTAGCTTTTCTCTCAAAGGGCATGATTTAGAAGTAACTCGGGACTCAAAAGCGATAAAGTCCCGAAAAGTCAACCCGGGACCCCGTGGGGTCCACGACCTCCAAATTCCGATCCGATCATTCCCTAGAGGTTCCAATATGCCTAGGACACATGTCTCGAGAGTTTGATTTCGATCGAACGGTCGAGTTTCTCACGATCGCATAATCAGACAGATGAATGATTTTCCGTAATACTAACCCTAGGGTTGGCCTTTTCGGAGTATCTGGGGCTCCGATTCACGTTCTGTCGAATCCTACATGATCCTGAAATTGCCTAGATCAACATACTCCAGTTTGACTACGATCCAACGGTCTGAACGTATTGAACCAGGAAATCGCACAATATGCGAGATCCGTTTGGGGTTCAAACGTTATCCAAATTGAGATCCACAAATTCCTACGCTCTCGTGAGGACACGAGGATCATTCTAGGACCAAGAGTAGTCCCCGACACCTAGCTCAAGCGCTGCCCATGCGCCAGCAGCGCGTGAGTGTGCATAATTAATTCTGGCGGCCGGAAAATCTTCAAACCGCCGGCCCAAACTTAGGTAAAACACCTCATTTGAAACCACTTTTGTTCCTGGACTGGCCAAAAAGTGGCCGGAAGTGGCTGAAATCGGCGACGCAAAACCGAAACAATTTCAACTCGAAAATCACCCTATCAAACTTCAAAATCTCGCAAATCCTACCCAATCATCAGATAGATCATGAAAAATAGCTAGAATTGCATACCTAATTCGTCCGATTTGGTGGCCGGATGACGACGAACGGAGCCGACGAAATCCTGTCAAAATCGATGGGATTTTCTGGTTTTTCCGGCGGGATCGTGGCGGCTGGACAGCAGGGAAGGTTGAGGCTGGGCTGCGGAGGTCACGCCGATCGAGTTGGGTCTGGTCCGGTGGTGGTTGGGTGTTATGGAGGTTTGGAGGTGCGACTGGAGAAGAAAAAGGAATGGGGGGGATGCTGGTCGCGTGGAGAAGAAAGGGAGAAGAAGAATAAGATTTTAAAAATCTGTTCTTGAAAAATTACCAAACTGCCCCTCAACTCATTTTGCTCGTAATTCCTTTGTTACAAGTCCGATTCAAGTCCACTACGTGTCTACGAACTCGTTTCGTCGCGCTCAACGCAGGAGGGACCTTCAAAGGGTCAAGTTAGCTTAGAGCATCTGTGAGTGGACCTTTTTGTTTTATGAATGATTTATGCAATTTAATCTCATTATTTGATCTTGAATGAGTTTATTCATTTATCAGAGTTTTAATAGCTTGATTTATCGCTTTTATATGTTTTATTTTATATGCTGCCGAGTTGAGAGGGCTTAGAGATTTTGGAATACTAGAATTTTAGATAATTAACAGATAAAATGGTAGCAGAGTTCAGGGATAAGTAAGAATTCATTTCATTTCTCATTAACTTTTCTGGAATTATATTTTCTTAGAAACCACCATAGGTACCCAAGAATAATAAAGGTCGCCTTCGGTTTATATGTGTTGCCTACGGATTAAATGGTTGCCTTCGGTTTATTAGTTGCCTTCAGTTATGTCAACATGCTAGACTTACGCTCCGCAAGTCCTAGAGGTACCCGGGACCGAGGGAGCGAGGTACGCGGGTCAGGTCGACTAAATGTCCCCTGAATTCCATGAGGATTGCGGCTCGGGTGACTTTGTGTTTCTCGAGGTCTGCTAGGACGTGTCACTCCGGTGGCACGAGGATGGAATTGACGGAAACTAGTGGAATTGACGGATTAATAAATGGGTACACCTAAGTGGTAGATTTAAGTTGATTTTGATTCTTTCAAGGAATTAATGTTTGATCAAGTGTGTGATTGATTATATATATATATATATTAATCCGTCAGAGCCCAGTTAAACCAAATAAACTAGAACAATGCAATAGACGCTCTGATACCAGAAGGGAACTAGAACCTATAATCTAGAAGAACTAGATTAAAAAGGATTTTTAACTAGTTAAAAGTGGAAGGCTTGACTTTTGTTGGCTTATGTATTTAATGGCTTGAAGACTTGGAAGAGGAAAGGGACTAGTTAACTACGGAAGAGGATAAAGAGTATGACTAAGTAATTGACTTGGAAGATGACTTGAGCAACTAAAAAATAAAAAATAAAGAAATAATGAATAAAATAAATTATTGAATAAACATAAATTGAAATTAAAAGATTAATCATAAGTTTAAAAGAAAATGGACGTATGAGAATAAATTGTATAAATAAAAAACTATGAGGGCACTGAGTTTAATTAAATAAATAATATAGATTAATGAGAATAATTGGACTAACATAAATTAGAATTTGAAGGACTATGAAATAAACACAGAAAATAATATTATTGACTGTGGAAGCTTTGAAAACAAAGTATGAACTTACAGAAATCTTAGTTCAGTGAAAGCAAGCAATGTCACGCAGGACACTCACACTCCACTCTCACTCACAACTATTGTAGTTGCCTCAGGTCTACAAACTATGAGAGAACTTTGAAAACTGAAAGAAACTTACAATGTTTATTGAACAAAGCTTGAAGGAAACTGAGAATGAAAACTCCTAACTTATAGCCTTGGCTTTCAAGAGAGGACAAAATAACTTTTGGCTTTAACTTAAGTAAAAAACATTTAACTTAAACTTTGTCGGGCATCTTTGACTGGAAGGAAAGGCATCTGCTTTCACATGGGTGAAAGGACTTTAACATCTGCTTTCACATGGGTGAAATGCATCTAACTCAGCTTTCGGCTACTTTAACTTTGGCAGAGGCATCTTTGACTAGGAGAGCTTCAATCTTCAGAGAGATCATAAGGATCTTGACTGTCGGGCACGTAATCTGACCATCTAGGCTTAGGCTTCTGACTGAATTGCTGACTAGGCATTTGACTGGAAGAAGATTCTGATTTTGGGCTAGCATCATCATCGTCTTCATCATTCATTTGAGAGACTTGGGCAAGGAGCTGCTGTGCTAATTCTGTTAATTCTTTCTTAGATTTTCCTTTAAGGGAGGCATTTGAACTGCTTGGAGAGACCTCTTTAACTGTATTTGAACTGCTTGCAAGCATCTGAATAGGAGGATAATTTGCATTGACTCGAGTAATAATTTCGTGTAGGATAACTTTATCCCACCATTTTACAACATAATGACGGCTTAGAATTCTGGTTTCCCAATTAATTTGATAACTCCATTTTAAAATCCAAGGAATTCTGTATTTGGCA